AAATAAACATTTGAAATATATGAGTTTGAATGTAATGTATGAATATAATATACAAGTTTCACTTTTTAAATGGAATTACTGAAATAAATCTACYTTTTCATGATATTCTAATTTTATGACCAGCACCTGTATTGTGACATGTTGTGATACTATAAGCAAGATGATATATTGTCTTTTTTTTCCTCCAAAATATTCTAATGTAAAAAAAAAAACTCAGTATAAAAGCAGGCTATGATTACAAGCATAAAATCTGATGGAGCTCAGTTTTTTATCAGAACACTGAACAGCAGTGAGAACTGTGTTTATTTTTCACATTTCTTCTTACAACATCCATCCATTAAGCCTTAAGTACACAACATGGTGCTTTTGTGAATCGATACAGTATCAACAAATTAAATATCGTGATTTTTCAGTGTATCAATATTTTCTTACACCCCTACTAAACTAAAACAAAACTGTCTGATCCAGCAGCTTGTAAAACTTCCCTTTTTTGTTGAATTTTATCAGTCAAGAGGAATTTTTTTCCAACGTTCTTTCAATTCATTAATGTTTGCATACATTAGTTTATACTCAGAAAAGTGACTCTTTTAATCTTACTTGTATTGATGTTGATATTGGGGATGCACGATATATTGGCATTAACAACTGTATCGGTTTGATATGTAAAACTGAGCCGATATTAATGTCCAATATTGATTTCCCACTTTTTAGTTTTGTGTTTCTGTTTTGGAGGGGAGATGGTTGGTTGAGCAGCATCTGTTTGATCATGAAAGTTATATTGATACTGCACAGCCAGGAATAACTGAAGTAGAGCCATATCAGAGGTCTGGTCACTTATTTACAGTATTGAAAAAAGACACAAGTATATTTGTGTGTATATGTATATAAATAATTTGTGTGATTGTGTAATATCAGTAAATATCGGTTATCGAAAATAACGGCAATAATCGGATATCGATATCGGCTGAAATTTTCATATCGGTGCATTCCTACATGATATATGACCACTTCAGTTAAAATTAAAAGAAGGTCAGATTTTAGTTTGATTTTGGTGTCCCTGACAACACACGCCATCTCCTCAGGGTCAGCTGGAGCTGATGCTGGACATCCTGGTGTTCCACTCCTCCCGTCAAGATGGCACCAACGAATGCTCGCAAAATAACGGCAACTGTGCCCACCTCTGCCTGGCCACGCCTGCTGGTGCCCGGTGCCGCTGCGCCTCACACTACAGTCTGAGCCCAGATGGAAAAAACTGCAGCTGTAAGTGCAGTCTCATGTAACCGTGAATGACTAACACCTCCTTCTTTTTATAAATTAAAGCTGAATATTTGTAAAAGATAGTAAAATGTCAGAGCACTACGTTACTAAAGCTACATCGTAGCCACTGATCCTCTAGTTGCAGGGCACTCTGGAGTCCTCCATGGATAATATTAGGGGAAACAGTGCAGTCTTGGCGGAGGTGCTTCTAGTTTATTTCCTTAAATTGGTTAAAATATCAACACTTTATGGCATTGTCATTTCATTGTGTAGGTATAACAGTTACTTGTTTTTTTTCAGCTCTGGTGATCATCACTGTTTTTAGCCTTGCTGGGTTAATATTTGCTCGTACTTGTCTGACTTTGCATTAGGTGCTTTTTTCTTTCTGACAGAGAAATCACAAAGCCAGCTTTTGTCTTACCACCTCACCCTCCACCCTACTCTTTGCAGCTCCTTCGAGTTTTCTGCTCTTCAGCCAGAAGGCCAGCATCAGCAGGATAGTAATAGGAGAACAGAGTCCTGATATCATCCTGCCAATTTACATCACAAGGAACGCCCGAGCTGTGACCTACGACCCCCTGGACCATCTTGTCTACTGGCTGGATGGACGACAGAACATCCGAAGAGCCAGAGACGATGGAACCATGGTAAGACTCACAATAGCTGCGTTTCCATTGCAAATGCACGCAAAACTTTGTCGATATTCTGTTAATGTCGAAAAACATAGTTTCGCAATTGCAGTGTTTCCATTAAGTAAGAAACGCTATTAAAGTCACGTGTGAATACGCTTGTTCTCGCGATAAGTTATTACAAACATGGCGGCAATGGATGTAAACACATAGCATGTTGCTACCACAACACTAGCGCTCATCATCAGCCATCAAAGGAGACGTCGGCGTCTTATCAAGGCTTTCGAGTGACAAGTCCCTTATACTTGGGAGCGGCTACATATGCTGTGTTTTTGGGAAATTGTAGTCGGTGAGGTTAATACTTTCTTTTACTACTTCGGTGATTTCACTACTACTTCTACTTCCTGTTATCTTCTTCTTCATCGTCTTTTTCACCAGTAGAAACAGCCGGTTGTTGATCACGTGACTCCCGTGATGCAAAAAAAGTGTTTCCATTGCAGCTTTGCGAAATACATCAATTTCGTTATGGCCGAAAAACCACTTCATCCTAGCGCAAAAACATTTTGTCGAAAAATGTAATTTTCTTTTCGAAAGTGACATGTTTCCATTGAGCAAATTTATTTTCGAAATTCTAATTTGCACATTTTCATGGTCAATGGAAACGCATCCACAGATACAGACACAGCAGGTGAGCTGTGCAAATAGTAGTAAAGTCACTAGAACAAAAGCAGAAGTCAAAAATACTGCAAAAATTTTACGTTTTTAAAATAGCAAAATGGTTAAAGTAACAAACAAATGGATAAATACTAAAATAAATTAAAATGTCTAGCATTCTTTGAAGGAATGCCTATCATTCATCACCTTTCAAGCTAGAGTTTTAAACCAAGATCATCTTATGATGAAAAGTATTTAGTTCAAACCTTCAAAATGTGCACAGACCCCTCTGGGTAAACTAGTGGGACATGTGTTGTTATCAGATAGATTGATACAGTTAGAGGCAACACTTGATTTTAACTTTTGTTGAAGAGGATTTATTTGTTTTAGGACTATTTTAAATTTTATAAATAATTCAATTAAGCAATAATCCCTCAACTAGCATTTATATCCTTCAGAAACCTAATCATCCATCCATCCATCCATCCATCCATCCATCCATCCATCCATCCATCCATCTATCCATCCATACCCCCAAATTAAATGAAATAAAATTAAGTAAAAGTGATCCAAAATGGGGTTACAGGAACATTTCTTTAAAAAAAATACTAAATTTCATGACCAGTCAGTGCTCAGATTGTAAATTGGACATCAGTTTCAGATACTACTGCACCCAAAATGCAGGTCAGTATTTGAATTTCTGTAAAATTGACTGGGTTATAGTCACAGATTGTTTATTAATAGACCACTGACATGGAGCTGAGCTGAAAGTCAAAGCCAAAATGGAGCAGTTCAAAACAACACGAAAAGTTGGGATCATAAAATTTATCAAGGTTATAGCAGTTATAGTGGGCAATTTATATTCCTTCACAGAATGCTAAGTCTTTAATTTTAAAAGTGTCAGGTGAAACATATTAAAGTAATGAAATTAAAACATTAAACAGTGTTATTTTGAAAAAAAAAAACTGAATAGTTAAGTAGATTGATTTTGATTGAGAAGAAATGCTGAAAAAAAGGAAATGTTTTGTCTCCAGGCCTCAACAGTTGTGAGCAGCACAGCTCAACAAGTGGACTACCAGCTTCATGACCTCAGCCTGGACCCCTACAGTCGCCACATTTACTGGACCTGTGAGACGACCAACACCATTAATGTCCAGAGGATGGACGGCCACATCGTTGGCGTCGTCGTCAAAGACAGCACGGACAAGCCGAGGGCCATCGTGGTCAACGCTGAGAAAGGGTGAGCATACTCTAATGTTCTTACATGTGGACCAAACAATATTCATCACATGCAACCCAGATAGTGTTCAAGTTGGTGCAAAAAGTCATCTGAAAATGTTATAAACACAGTCTAGAGCAGACGTATTCCAGTGGGAGTACAGTATAGATGTGCTGTAGGACATTAGAAGTAATTCTAACTAAAGAATTTGCATTTTCTGTGAAAAGATGTACACAAATTTAGCATTTTGTTGTAAAAAAATAGCCAAAATAAGCTGAAATTAGTAGAAAAGTAGCTAAAATGTAGCTGTAAAAGCTGAATCTATCACAAAGAATTAGAAAGAGCCTATATTTGCTGGATGAAGCAGCTGAAAGAAGTAGCTAAAGTTATCACAAAACACATAAATTTTGCTGAAAAAGGCTAAAATTAGCTTAAGTGGCTTTAATTGTAGAAATCATAAAAAGCTAAAATTAGCACAAATAATTTTAAGTAAGGCAGAAGTAGAACCAAAGGTGAAAAGTGCAGGAAGATTGTAACTATTTTGAAAGATTTTAAGGATTTTAAATTCATTTTCCTTTTTTATTCAATGAGAACTAGGATGGCAGAAAAAGCTAAACATCTCAAAAGGTTTTGATTGCTGAAAAACCAGAAGTCATAGCTGGAATGTCTCCAAGGACAGAGAGGGACAAAAACTTTAGAGCTGATAGTAAACACTGAAGCTAGCTGGATGGAACCCATCAGGTCCTGCAGCCCTGCTGGTTTAGCTTCTCTAAAAACCTTTCTCATGTTGGACAGCAGAGTTGTAAAGTAACTAAGTACAAATACTTTGTTACTGTACTTAAGTAGAAATTTTGGTTAACTGTACTTTACTTGAGCAATTATTTTTCAGCGTACTTTTTACTTTTACTCATTACATTTTTTAAAAAGGTATGAAGTAGAAAGTTGTTACTCTTATTTTATTCTGAGTAATTACTATAATACTACGTATATATGTATATATACATATATGTATATATATAATACTATCCTGATAAATTGTCTCCTGGATAGAGTGAATTTAATTTTGGTTGGATGAGTAGTATAAATATTCACCATTCTGACAGCCTTTTAGCTTGTACACAACCCATCACAGCTGCACGCTGTTAGAAAAAAATTTTTTTTGAGAAGTCACCTCCCAATAAATGTCATTTTGGAAAATCTAACTGCTCACTTTTACTCAGTACTTTTACTTTAAATACTTAAGTAGATTTTGTGTCAGAAATTTACTTTTGATACTGAAGTACAAAAAATATCAGATACTTTAAGACTTTTAGGCAAGTAATATTTTTAGACAAGACTAACTTTTAGCAAACTATATTTATGATAAGATACTTGTACTTCTACTCAAGTATCACTTTGAGGTACTTTATACAACACTGTTGGACATGTGACAGAGGGCGGTGTTTCCCTACAGACTGCAGCAGCTGCTGTAGCTCGGTGTTAGTGGTTAAAGGGGCACGACTGAACGTATTGTGACACTGTGTGCAGGTGTGATTGTACCTGACCATGTCCCTGTTTGTAGGTACATGTACTTCACCACAGTGCAGGAGCGCTCAACTAAGATCGAAAGGTCCAGTCTGGACGGAACCGAGAGGGAGTCTCTGTTCACCACTGGACTGATCAGACCAGTGGCTCTGGCTTTGGACAACAAGTTGGGGAAACTGTTCTGGGTCGATGCTGACCTCAAGCGCATTGAGAGCAGCGACCTGACAGGTGAGTTATCAAAAAACACATTACTTTTTTTTTATTGTTGATTAAATATTTTATTTTCTGATGAAAAGAGTGATTAGATAACAGTGAAGTTAAGATCTATAAACCATAAAGTGATCAATAAGACCTTTTCTCCATTCACTGCTCTGCAGTGCATCAGGGTTTATTCAGGGTTCCTGCAGATCCTTAAAAAGTCTTGAAAAGGCCTTGAATTCATCAATCCAAAAATAAGGACTTAATTAGCCTTAAAATGTCTTAAATTAATCTTTCTGAAGTCTTAAAAATGTTAACACATTGTAAATAGGATGACTCTAATATTAAAATAATTGGTAACATTAATTTTTTTAAACATTCACATGCAGACATTCCTCTTTGACATCACTTCCTGTTACTTCATGTGCAAATATCTCAACAACCGTCCATCTGAGCATTGTGAAATTAGTTTCATAATATGTTAATAATGTCTTTACTTGAAATGCATTCATATTTCTTTCAACAATTTTTTGTCACAGGCACTTTAAGCTTTCATCGACTACAGCAAATTGGGGTTAAGACCCCACTGTGGGTCCTAAAACTCCAAATTTTGGGTTGTTAGAGGATTTCCTGAAATTAAACTAAGTTTAAAACTGACTAAGAATGTTTCTGCTATAGTTAGATATGGATAAAAACAATTGGTCTATTAGCAATATTTGAATACTTCAACCAAAAATACTTTGATTCATGAGTTTCTGACAGTTTTTGTGTTTTGTCATTTGTTGTTATTATGAAATTAGTCTTAAATTTAATTTCACTAGGCATTAAAAAGTCTAAAAAAGTCTCAAATTTAACTTTCTTTAAACTGTAGGAACCCTATTATCTGTTTTTTCTGGCAGATTCCTTTAAATATGAGTAGTTTCTCCATTTTCTACAAAATGTGCTGCTCAGGATTGAGATTATTTTGAGAGGGTAGTGGATGCTGTGTGCGCCACTTCCAGGTGCTGACGTAAAAATAAACACAGATGATGGTCACTTTGATTTTTCAGATTCACTCATCATAACTTTGAATGTTCAGAAATCACTGCAAATTCATCGTTTGTACCCACCTTAGCCCCGCCCCCCCATTGATGGAGTACTATAGGAGTTTCACTGTTGTCACTGTCACTCTAACAGAAAACACTTGTCTGAAAGTACTCTTCCTTCCCTTCCAGGAGCCAATCGCATTGTTTTACAAGATTCCAACATTCTGCAGCCAATAGGACTGACAGTCCTCGGGGATCATCTGTACTGGATAGACCGACAGCAGCAGGTGATTGAAAGGGTGGACAAAGTGACCGGAGACGGACGCACACGCATTCAGGGACGGATAATGTACCTGACGTCCATCCATGCTGTGAAAGAGATGGACCCGCAGGAGTTTGGTACAGATCATTGCTCAGAAACATATGTTGATCACTTCATTTTAATGAGTTGATGGGTTTGAGCATGATGGTGTCATTGTGACTGTTTCCTCTCTCGCCAGCATCCCATCCTTGTTACCGGGACAACGGAGGCTGTTCTCACATTTGCATTGCAAAGGGTGATGGAACCCCGTCCTGTTCCTGCCCCATGCACCTGGTGTTGCTGCAAGACCTGCTGCACTGTGGAGGTAAGCAGCAGACCACAGCTGAGGTAAAGGCTGTTCTGAAGAAACAGACTGGGTTTGTGTGGAGAGGAACCTCTTCACATTAACACCCAGTCTGGTGTGTATCAGTAGATTGACCAGAACCTGACCAGCTAAAGTGGGGACAGTATAGTTTATCCAAATACAACCTATGCACAGAAACTCAAACTAATAGTTACTGTAGTTACATGAGCAGTGAGTCTGACCACATTGTGTCCAATACTACAGTCCTTTTTTACTAAATTAACTGAGGTTTTAAAACTGTGTTCTTTTTTTTTTTTTAGGAAAAGGCAATTGTCTGCTAAAAAAAACACATTACATTCATTTAGTTCATATTTGTTCTTCTTTAAAACTGAATTTAACTTAGTGCTTTTTATTTTATTGTATTTTAGACAATCCACCTTATGATTCATCCTACATATATTAGAATCCATGGCAGGACTATGTTCAGTGTGTTACAATCAATCAGAGGACACAACGACACTGAGGGTGTTATTATAATGGTTATTCAACATGTGCAGCTGGTGTGAGTCAGAACATGTCACAGGTTTCTCTGAGGAAAGGAAAAACAGGTTAGTGTCTGTCCAACAGGATATTCAAAAATAAAGCTACTAACCTCAGAGAGACAGAGTCCACAGGGTGAGTCCTGCAGAGACATCAGAGACATCAGAGACAGTGGAGCTGAGTTTGGAGTTCATCCAATACTGCTTCCATCCATCCGTCCATCAACCAACCCATCCATCCATCCATCAACCAACAAACCAACCAACCCATCCATCCATCCATCCATCCATCCATCCATCAACCAACAAACCAACCAACCCATCCATCCATCAACCAACTAACCCATCCATCCATCAACCAACCCATCCATCCATCCATCCATCCATCAACCAACCCATCCAGCATCCATCCATCCGTCCGGCTGTCCATCCATCCATCCGTCTGTCCATCCATCCGTCCGGCTGTCCATCCATCCGTCCGTCTGTCCATCCATCCGTCCGTCTGTCCATCCATCCGTCCGTCTGTCCATCCATCCGTCCGTCTGTCCATCCATCCGTCCGTCTGTCCATCCATCCGTCC